TCTTCCCCTCCTGCGCTGTCCCTCTACTCTACCCAGCATGATGTCCCTCTCTAAAGACCTGTCTCTCCTTACAACATGTCCAAAGTATGTCAGGCGAAGGCCCAGAATCCTTGCCTCCAAGGAGCAGCCTGGTTTAACCCTCTCTACGATGAATCTGTTTGTTTTCTTGGCAGTCCCCGGTACATTCAATACTCTTCTCCGGCACCACAGCTCAAAGACCTCAATTCTCCTTCTATCCTCCCTAGTCACTGTCCAACTAACTATCTGATGCATAACAAGTGATTGCAAAAACCATGGCCTGTATCAGGCACACCTTCCTCTCCAGAGAGACATTCTTGAGTACTTTAGAGAGGTCCCTAACAGCAGACTTTCCCATCGCAATACGCTTTTTGATTTCCTGGCTACTGGTGCCAAGAGTGTTGACCGTGGAGCCGAGCAAACTGAAGCTGTGAACACTCTCAATCTCTTCGCCATCCATCCTGATGCTACCGATTGGTCCGGTGGTGAGAATTTTTGTCTTCTTGACATTGAGCCTCAGTCCATATTAAAGGCTGCAGTCCTTTACGCTCTGCAGTAAGTGCATGAGGTCCTCCTCAGTTTCAGCGAGCAAAGTTGTGTCATCTGCATAACTGCAGATAGTTTTCCAATTTTGCCAACACCATTTGTTAAAAAGGCTGTCATTTCCCCACCTAACTGATTTCATCTCCTTGTCAAAAATCAATTGACCATAAATAGAAGTGCTGATTTCCGGGTTCTCGATTCTAATCCATTGATCTATGTGTCTGTCATTGTACCGGTACCATGCTGTCTTGACTACCACGGCAGTGTAGTAGGATTTGAAATCCTACCTTTTTCCTATTTTTAAGAAGTGCTTTGCTTATTTGTGGCTTCTTTCCATTCCAAATAAAGCTGGAGATTACCTTTTCCATCTCACTGAAGAATGGAATTGGTATTTGTATTGGGATTGCATTGAATGTGTAAATTGCCTTTGGCAGTACTGCTATTTTCACAACATTGAGCCTTCCTATCCATAAGGAAGAGATATTCTTCCACTTCTCCAGGTCTCTTTTTGTTTCTTGTAATAATGTTTAAAAAAAATGCTTTGTAATTTTCTTTGAATAGATCTTTTGTGCTTCTAGTTATATTTACTCCCAAATATTTAATCTTGTGATTA